GAGGCAGGCGGATCTCTGTAAGTACAAGGCCAGCCTGGTCTACATAGTGAGTTCCAGGGCAGCTGGGGCTACAGGGAGTCCCTGCTTCAAAAAGACGAAAAATAAAATAAAATAAAAATAATAAATATTAAAAAGAAAAGAAAGAAGATCACTCTTCCTCACCCAGCAGTAATCAGCTGCCAATAATTCTTTGACTAAGATTGGGGCCTGCTGTCTATTTCCACCGTTGTGTGCTGGGTTTTGTCTGCTTGAGTTTTCAGGAGTCTTTAGCATACTGACACCATTGTTGTAGGTTCATATGAGAAGGATCCCAGGAGCCTGTAGGATGCTATTTGCATATAGTCATGCAACTCCCTTCCGGGCTCTTAAAAACTTTCTGTCCTGTCTTCTGCAATGGTCCCTGAGCCTTGGGTGGATGGATTTCCTGGCCCTCTTGAGAGCTTTATTGATGAGAATTGAAAGGTGCATTAGTGTTCTCTTCCTCCCTTGTTCTATGTTCCATGAACCTTAGGTGTAGAGGTTGCATCGTAGGTGTGCCACTTAGGCTTGGGCAGTCCACAGTCAATCTCTGTGTGTGACCAGTAGTAGAACTCTATCTCTGTTGAAAAAGAAGCTTCTTTGATGGGTGGTAACTAGGATACTTATCTATGGATTTAAGAATCCATATTTTGCACATAGTAAGAAATTATATTTGTCTAGGGATATGACAGCCTTGGCATTTTCTCTAAGATCTATGACCTCTCCAACTATGTGTATTTGGCTATGTTTACAGTACCGCACATGAGTTTCCTCCATTAAGTAGGCTTTAAGTCCATTTAGGTAGCTGTTGATCACCCCCAAGATAAAAGTGCCACTACTGCACCACTGTTGTTTGCTGTGCCAGTCATTGATGTGGTTTTTAGCTCTTGAAGCTGGAGTTGGACCAACAATTAATGTTCTCCCTTACCAGCTTGTGTAATGCTTTCCAAAGCTACAAGAGCCAGCCTTCAGGAAAGGGGGCTTCCAGGTCAGTTCCAGCTTCATTGCTCCAAATCCTATGTCCTGTCTTCAGCAATAAGGTCTTGCCTTTAAGTTCTGGAAGGCAATCAAAGGCTGTGGCAATAGCCTGTGTAATTTGGGGAGTCTCTTGGGCTGTCCTTGCTGACAACTCAAAGGGAGGTTTCTCCTGTCTGGCACTGTTATGTAGCCTTCAGCTATACACATGGACTCATGTAAAGATATGGTATGTGTAATTTTCCAGTAGGTTTTTGGACTAAGCCAATTCCCTTTGGGTTTTTTTTTTTTTTTTTGTACTAGCCACACATTATTTTTCTCTTCTCTTTCTCCCTGTCTAATCTTCCCTCCTTGCCCTCCCCCATTTAAAGTGTCTCCATTTCTCCCTTAATAATACCTGTCTGCTATTGTCCCCCCCCCAGCTCCTTCTTCCCCTTTATCCCCATAGTTCCTTGTATAGCTCCTTCTCCCCCTCCCATTTAACTACCCCCATTTCACACATTTCTCCCTAAGTAACACCTGTCTCCTGCTGTTTTTTCTCTTGGGTTCTTTCGATCCCTTTACCTCCCTGTTCCCCTTCCATTTTCCGGGTTCCTGCAGTTACATCAGAATATATACTGAAATATAAGGATTTGGTGCTAGGATCCACAAATGAGGGAGAGCATAAGTCTTTTGTTTTTCTGAGTCTGTGTTGTTTCACTTTGTAGTTCCATCCATTTACCTGCAAATTTCATAATTGTTTCTTTCTTTACCACTAGTAGAACACCGTTGTGTAAATGTACCACATTTTCATTATCCACTCATCAATTGAGGGACACTTAGGTTGCTTCCATCTCTTAGCTGTTGCTATTTTCACTTTTTGACCTCCACACTTGCTTCCATTGTGGCTGGTGTAGTCTACATTCCCACCTACAGTGCATAAGGCTCCCTCCCCCTTTTGTCCATATCTTTGCTTGTTTTCTTAGTGACTACCATTCTGAATGGTAGATTCATGAATCTCTGCCTAGTTTTATTTGCATTTGTCTGATGGTTTAATGAAGTTGAAGTTTTTTATGTTTATTTCTTTTGTGCCTTATCATGGGAGGGGGACACGTGTGAGTTCAGTATCTGGGGACAACTTTTGGGATTTGATTCTCTTCCTGACACTTTGGAGGGTCCAGGGATCAATGTCAGGCGTTTGTGCAAGCATTTCTCACTGAGCCATCTTGTTGCCCTGTATTTCATTTGTTTAGTTCATTATCTCCCATTTATTGGTTGGGTTCTTTGATTTCTTGTTTAGCTATTTTAGGTCTTTGTATATTCTGTCAGGCATGCCCATGGGCCACATAGATAGCTATGCTATGAATGTAAACCAAAAGAAAGTCATAAACTTCCTTTTATGAGATGTTTTTTGCTACCTCAGTTGTTTGTCTTGATTGTAAACTACTTTGTAGTTGACATTATGTTGCAATATGAAAAGTTCGAACACACCTACTTGATATTAATTCTCTGTAAGATGTTTAGGTAGTAAATATTTTCTCTTTTTCTGTAGACTGTCACTTCACTTGATTAACTATTTCTTTTGCTGTACAGAAACTTTTGTCAGTTGTTGACTTTATTTCTTGAATGGCTGGAGCTCTATTCAGAACAATCTTCAAGTATTTTCCCCAATTTTTCCTCTAGTAGTTTAAAAATTACATTAAGGTCTTTAAGTCATTGCAGTTGTTTTGTGTTGGGTGAGAGAAAACGATCTAATTTTTCTATATGTGGATATTCAGTTGTCCTATCATCATTTGTTGAAGAGGCTATTTTATTTTTATTTTGTGTATTAGTGTATTGCTTGCATGTACATAAGTGCACCCATGTTGTGCAGTGCCCACAGAGATCAGAAGAATATGTCAGATCATTGGGAACTGGAGTTACAGATGGTTGTTAGCTGCCATGGGTGCTGGGATTCAAACCCAGGTCCTCTGCACGAACAGCCAGTGCTCTTAGCCACTGAGCCATCTCTCAAACCCATCATATTATTTTTATTACCATGCCTCTATAGTTTAACTTGAAATCAAATGTGATGATATCTCTAGGGTTATTGCTTTTGCTTTGGCTACCTGGTACTTTTTGGTTTCCATATGAATTTTAAGATTGGTTTTCCTATTTCTGTGTAAATTGACATTGAAATTTTGATGGGGATTGCATTGAATTTGTACATTGCTTTTGGTAAGATGGCTTTTTTTTGTTTTTTTGAGACAGGATCTCCCTGTAGCCCCAGCTGTCCTGGAACTCACTACGTAGACCAGGCTGGCCTCAAACTGACAGAGATCCATCTGCTTCTGCCTCCCAAGTGCTGGGACTACAGGCGTCCGCCACCATGCCCAGCCTAGATGGCTATTTTTATATTATTAATTATACTAATCCAAAAGCATGGGAGATCTATCTTCTAGTGTCTTCAATTTTTTTCAATGTTTTAATTTTTCTTCATGTTTTTATTTTTGGAGCTCTTTTATTTCCTTGATTAGGTTTATTCCAAGTTTTTGTTTTGATTTGTTTGTGAGTGGGATTGTTTCCCTGATTTCTTTCTTAGCATCTTTCTTATTATATGGGAAAGCTGTTGATTTTTTTTTTTTTTTTTTGAAACAGAGTTTCCCTGTAGCCCTAGCTGTCCTGGAACTTACTGTGTAGACCAGGCTGGCCTTGAACCCACAGAGCTCCGCCTGCCTCTGCCTCCCAAGTGCTGGGACTACAGGTATGTGCCACCACACACTGGCAGCTGTTAATTTTTAAAATGCTTATTTTATATCCTGCCACTTTATGTTTATCAGCTCTAAGAGTTTTCTTAGAGTTGGAGTCTCTTATATGGAATCATACCACTACGAATAAGGATAACTTGAGTTCCTTCCTACTGTATCCATTCTGTTTCCTTCTCCTGCCTCACTCTAGCTAAAACTTCATGCACTGTATTGAATAAGAGTGAAAAAGGTGAACACTCTTATCCTTGATTTTAGAAGTGCTTTGAGCTTGTTTCTCCACTTAGTATAATGTTACAGGTTTCTGTATATAATTTTATTATGCTGAAATATGTTAGATTTTGTCAAAAGCATTTTCTGAGTCTTTTGAGATGATCAGGTGATTTCTGTCCTTGAGTCCATTTATGTGAGCCTATTGATTGCTTATGTTGAACCATCCCTGCAACTCTGGAATGGCTTATATGTTAAGCAGCATGGTAGTCCATGTCTGTAATACTAGAACTTGGGAGGCTGAGGCAGGAGGATTCCTACAAGATCAGGACCTGATTGGTCTACATAACATGACCTTGCTTTAAAATGAATGGGGTTGGAGAGATGGCTCAGCCATTAAGAGCACTGGCCGCTCTTAGAGAGGACTCATGTTTGAATCACAGCACCCACATGGCAGCGGTCTATAACTCCAATTCCAGGGGATCCAACACCATCTTCTGACATCCACAGACATTGCACAACATGGACACACTTACATACATGCAGGCAATACACTCATATACATAAAATTTTTAAAAAGTACATATATATATACATACATACATATATATTTTGTCTTTTGTGAGACAGAGTCTACCTGTAGCCCCAGCTGCCCTGGAACTCACTATGTAGACCAGGCTGGCCTCAAACTGACAGAGATCTACCTGCCTCTGCCTCCCAAGTGCTGGGATTAACAGCGTACGCCACCACGCCTGGCTAATAAATATATTTTTAAAACAAATACATCTGTATTTCCTTTGAGATGGTCTCAGAATCATTTCATTAGGTGAATTGATTGTGATGTGTTAGTAAAAGCATGGTTTTTAAACATTTCTATGGCTAACAATTTAGTGAAGATTGCCTTTATTGAGAGAAATCTCTTACCTATTTGATTTTTTTCCAAACTTTTCTAATGTCACTACTGTATAACTTTTTCTAATTTAGAGTTGTGGTAGGGGTAGTTATTGCTGTTGGTGCTTGTCCTTGCTGTTTTTAACCTTGTTATTAATTGCATGTTTTGCCTATACATTTCAGGCTACTTCATAATTCTGAATCATGTCTGATAACGGAGAACTAGAAGACAAGCCTCCAGCGCCTCCTGTGCGAATGAGCAGTACTATTTTCAGCACTGGAGGAAAAGATCCTTTATCAGCCAATCACAGTTTAAAACCTTTGCCGTCTGTTCCAGAGGAAAAAAAGCCCAGGAACAAGATCATCTCCATATTCTCAGGCACAGAAAAAGGTAAACAGCTATTATAATTTCAAGAGTCTCGGCTTTGGTTTATTTTATGTTCCCCATCTTGTTGATGCCTTTCATTGTAAGAACAGTGAATAACAGATCTAAAAAAACACTGTTGGGCTGGAGAGATGGCTCAGTGGTTAAGAACACTGGTTGTTCTTGCAGAAGACCTGGGTTCGAATCCCAGCACCCACATGGCAGCTAACAACTGTCCGTAACTCCAGTTCCAGGGGATCTGACAGCCTCTTCTGTCCTCCACAGGCATTGCACAACACGGGTGCACTTACTTACAAGCAGGCAATACACGCATACACATAAAATAAAAATAATAAACAAAATATGAGAAAAAAAGATTTAAAAAGAAAAAAAGAGAACAATTGTTGCTGCTAATAGGCACTATAAAGACTTATTCTTGTGGGCGTGGTGGCATACCCCTTATAGTGCTTGGGAGACTGAGGCAAGACGATTACTTGAACCCAGGAGTTCAAAGCCAGCCTAGGAGGTATAACCTGTTTGTCTCTAAAACAAAACAAACAGGACTAACTCGTGATTGATTCATCTTTCATAGTCTTACTGTGTACCCCAGGCTGGTCATCTTTCTGTCTCAGTCTCCTGCGTGCTGGGATTATCGGCACGTGCAGCTATGTCTAGCAAGACTGTGATAGAAAAGAATAAAACTATAAAATTCTTCAGCCTGTTTGTTACAGACATTGGATTTCTGTACTCATCTTCATTTTCTGAGGTCTTTTTTATGGCTTCCTGATGTTGGTGAGGTTTGTGATAGCCCTAGTCTATTCTGTGGCTTTAACAAAATATCTAGGACTGGGTACTCTATAAAGAAAAAAAGCTTCAGACAGGTGTGGTGGAGCATGCCTTTAATCCCAGCACTCCAGAGGCAGAAGCAGGAACTCACTGTGAGTTCAAGGCCATCCTAGTCTACATAGAGAGTTCCAGGCCAGCTGGGGCTCAGGGAAACTTTGTCTCAAAAAAAGACCAAAAAAAAAAAACAGAGAGAGATTCATTTGGATCATGATACTAGTAGTTTGTTTGAATCACAGCACCCACATGGCAGTGGTCTATAACTCCAATCCCAGGGGATCCGATGCCCTCTTCCGACCTCCGCGGACATTGCACGACACAAGTGCACTTACTACGTGCCGGCAATACACACATACACATAAAATAAAAAAAATATATATATTTTTTGTCTTTTTTTGAGACAGGATCTCCCTGTAGCCCCTGCTGTCCTGAAACTCACTATGCAGACCAGGCTGGCCTTGAACTCACAAAGATCCGCCTGCCTCTGCTTCCCAAGTGCTGGGATTAAAGGTGGGTGCCACCACACCCAGCAAAAATTTTTTTTAATTTTTAAATTTTATTTTTCTTTAAAGAAATTTATTTTTATTTTATGTGTATGAGTGTTTGCCTACATGTGTGTATGTGCACCACGTGTGAAGAATTGGAATTTCAGATGGTTGTCAGCCACCATGCGGGTGCTGGGAACTGAACCTAGGTCCTCTGCAAGAGCAGCCAATGCTTTTAACCACTGAGCCGTCTCTCCAGCCCCCCAAATTAAGAATTTTTTTAAATGAATTTTTTAGTAATAGTAAATTTTTTTTTTTTTAATTGAGATGGGGTTTCCCTGTAGCACTAGCAGTCCTGGAACTCGCAAAGATCTCCTGCCTCTGCCTCCCGAGTGCTGGGATTAAAAGCGTGCACCACCACGCCCAATTTACAAATTTATTCTTATGTGTCTTTTTTTCCTGAATGTATGTAAGTGCACCCATGTGTGCGATGCCAACAGAGATCCCCTGGAAGTGGAGTTAAGGACAGTTGTTAGTTGCTGTGACTCTGTGATGACAAGCCATGGACCCGCCTCCTTCCCACGCTCTGCAAAGAAGCCACGCCCCTTCCCTCTTTCAGCCAATTGGTTGATCATAGCCACTTGCAGGGGAGGAGCTGAAGGTATAAAAGCTGGGAAAACTGCAAGGCTGGTCTCTCACCATTTTGTAAGGCTGTCCGCAACCACATGATTTATGGCTGGGTGTGGACTTTCTAACACAGCCATAAATGGGGGAGGTGCCCACTTGTCTGTAAGTAAACCCGCACCCCAAGCTCAGTTAGCAAGTCCAATAAACTTAAGATTCTTCAAACTGGGGTTTGGAGAATTTTTTCCTCCGGCTGTCCCAAGGACCGTGGGAGGAGGGGATTGGATGCCACATGTGCACCTCCCAGCAGTGAATTTGACTTACAGCTGCTATGTGGGTACTGGAAAATGAACCTGGGTCCTCTGCAAGAGCAGCCAATGTCTTAACTGCTGAGCCAGCCCCCATAGTAATACATCTTTGTCATATGTTGTTGTCAGAAGGATCTGAAGCCACCCCAATAGTTAGCAAAGGCCTGAGCTGTGATTTCTCAGCCTTGTAGCTCTTGATGTAATTCATGATTGCAGCAGTCTGTCTCTGTGCATTCTATAATGCACAGCATTCCTAGCTTGTATCCACTAAATGTCTATAGCACTTTATTTATTTATTTATTTATTTATTTATTTATTTATATTTGTCTTTTTGAGACAGGGTCTCCCTGCTGCCCCGCCTGGCCTGGAACTCACTATGTAGACCAGGCTAGCTTTGAACTCAACAGAGATGTGCCTCCCTCTGCCTCCCAGGTACTAGAATCAAAGATATGTACCACGATGCCTGACTATTTTTTTATATTTGAGAATTTCCTACAATGTATTTTGATCATATCTCTACCCCTCACTCCTTCCGTTAGTTCCTCCCAGATATCTTAGAGAGCACACTCATCCCCATTTAAGAGCCACTGACTTTGTCATACAAAGCAGGATAAAGGCTATAAATAGTTTATAAGTTAAAGTCACTAAATTAGTTTTTTGTTGTTGGGGGTGCTTTTTTATTTGTTTTTCCTTGACAGTTTTTCTTGCAGTTTTTTTTTTTTTTTTCTTTGAAACAAGGTCTTTTTGTATAGTCTTGGTACTAGTACTTACTTTCTAGCTCAGGCTGGCCCCATACTTACAACAACCCTCTTGCCTCTTCCTGCCTCAGTCTCTCAAATGTGAGGATTATGAGTATGTGTAGTACTAAATTGGTTTTGGTGCTGTTTTGTTTTGTTTTGGTTTGACAGAATCTCTCTATGTAGCCCTAGCTGGACTGGTGCTTGTTGAATAGCCCAGACTGGCCTCAGACTCACTGCTTTCCTTCTGGGTGTTGGGATTATAGGCATGTACCACCATACTTGATTCGTTGCATTTGAATTTAAGGAAGAAACTTTTAGGTTTTAGGATTGGATAACAGGTTACTGGCACTAAAGGATTTTAGAACAAGGAAGAGGGATGAGGGGTTCAGTTAATTAATCACATTAAACATGGTATTGTGCATCTCTGACAAATGATAATAGATGTGAACAGAGATAAAGATAATATCTCCTAGGTCTACATGTAAAGGTAAGCTGAAATGAAAGAAGGGTGCTTTGTGCATAACAATACATGTTGGAGATTATATAGCATAATATTGACTCACTAAGCTTTAGTTAGCATTTGAAGAAATTACAAATAAGAATCCATAATTCTTACAGAATTTATATTTTCAGACAGGAAATAGTCAATAGACAGTTGCACACCTATTCATTTTATTATTTATACAATCTGGGTTACATTGTAAAACCTTGTCTCAAAAAACCAAGGCAGAGCTGGGCATGGTGATACAGGACTTTAATTCCAGTACTCAAGAGGCAGAGGCAGGTGGATCTATGTGAGATTGAGGCCAGCCTGGTCTACAAAGAAGTTCCAGGCCAATTGGTGCTACAGGGAAACCCAGTTTGTTTAAAAATAATTGAAAGAATAGGAGAAAGGGAGGAAAGATTTGGGAGGGAGGGAGGGAGGGAGGGAGGGGAGGGAGAGAAACAAGGTGTAGAGACAGGAAATCATGTAAGGATTTAGGGAAGTAGCTCATAGGTAAATAATTTGCATCATGAGGCCCTGGGTTGATCCCTAGCACTAATCATCATTGTTGCCCCCCCCCCCCACATACACACAGAAGATTTCATAGGAGTAGAAGAGCTTAGTGAATATATATTGAGAGCTTGTTTGGAGGTTCTAGCAGGGGAGTGCAGCTACTAATGTATATTCATTACCAAGCCAGAGACCAGCTCTCCTCTATCAAGGAAAGTCATTCTTTTCAACCAAGTGTGCAACTTTGGGAGGGGTGCACATGGAGAATTGGGGGGGGGGGACACCTGCCTAGCCAGCCAGATCAGTGTAGTCAACCTTGGAGATCAATGAAGTGACAGATGTCACAGCCAGATCACCCTCACATCAATGAATATATATTCTTAAACCATAATTACCATGGAGAGATGGCCCCATGGTTAATAGCAATTACTCTTCTTCCAGATGACTCCTGTTCAGTACCCAGCAACCACCAGCAGCTAACACCTAACCTTAACTCCCGTTCCAGAGGATCCATCCCTCTCTTTTGGCCTCCAGGGGCAATGCACGGATGTGGTGCACTTACATGCATGCAAAGCATTCATACACATTTAAATATAATACTCATATATCATATATAATTAACAGAAGTGACTAGGTAGGTATTTAACTTGAGGATAAAAATGTACTTAAAAGAAGCTGTGTCACAAGTTCCCACTGCCATGCCTTCCCTGTCATAGTGGACTGATATTTCCTGAAACCGTGAACCAGAATAAATCCTTCCTTACTTTAAAAAAAAAAAAAAGCTGGACATGGTGGTGCATGAGTCCAGCCTGGTCTCCATAGCTAATCTAGGCCAACTGTGGGTACAGGCAGACCCTGTCTCAAAAAAACTAAAAAAAAAAAAAAAAAAAAAAGGTGGGAGGAGAAGGGAAGGAAAAAAGGGGACTCGACGAGATGTCTTAGTAAGTAAAGGTGCTTACTGCCAAGCCTGACAATCTGAGTTTCAGTCCCTGGGACTCACATGATAGAAACTGAGAATCAGCTCCCACAGGTT